GAGTTGGTGGTTCTTCTCAGATAACTCGCAGGCCTCTTCAATTGCGTCCTTCACTTTGTCCAAAGTATTCGCTGGAGCGCAAACGAACAAATTAATATCATTTGTCTCCCATTAGGAACGGGTGAACATAACGGGAAGCTCGGCGCAAGCGGCTTACCCTTCCCTTCAATGATACGGGAAACGAGACTTACGAGATGCGATGAGGCGTCCTGTCTCAGCAACTAACCCACAAATTTGTGCGTGGATGAAGGGTTTGTCATCACTGTCAATCCCCGAATGGGCATCCAGCAGAAGTTGGAGGTACTCTTGTAATCCGGACGCATTCGCAACTTTCCGAGTCAAACGAAGAGCAGAACTACTCGCCTCTTCCTGAAAATACACACACCAAAGGAATACACAATCTATGCGCTCAGCCATCCAAATATGCAGGATCTCCAAAGCCCCCTTCAAGCATCCTGACTCCGACCATTCCGGCAGGCAGGTATGGGTAGGCTTATGCAGTGACTGTATGTCTTACTAGCACGCTGTCGGCCTTTTTCCCTCTGCCAACACTATCAAGAATTGCCTCTAAGGCGGATGTGACATCCTTCCAGTCCTCGTCAGAACCGGTTACGGCTGCATACGCATACGCGTCCATGTACCCCAGTAAGGCTTGGCGTTTCCACAGACTGACACTCTCATCGGAAACGAACTGCTCGATGGCCTCGCGGACTGTATTCCAGAGCGTTAGAGGCGCCGTGTTATCCCGCATCTCCCACTCAGGCGTTGTATACACTGTCCACTTATCTCCGTGCGATGGTGGGACAAACAGCCGTTGTAAAAGCATGAGAGTCTTTGTCTGAACGCGCAGCACCCATGACCAGCACCGCGCGTACTTACGCCTTCCAGCGAAGTGGAAGTGGAACTCTTAACCCTGAACCCTAATTGACCCAATTCCGCTCCCCGACCTGAAACCTAAAGCTTAACCACTGGCTCAAGTTATATCCATATCACGCCACCTAGGCAATCTGTATCCACTTGCAGAGGAAACATGAACCGCCTTGGCTGCTAGCTTACAGAATGTGAAGGAGAGCGATGATTTGGTCCAAAGGATGAGATGACTCTGAATGATTCGGAAACTGCGCTTAGACCTTCAGACGACATTCGGCTGCGTGTCAAGATGACACTAGACTGATCCAGGAACCTTCCCATCAGCATCAACTTTGTCACAGCGAAACTCCCGAGGACGGCCACAGCGCTGGCAGGAACATCCCCAAACTGTTGCTTCATGAGCTGCGAGCAACATGAGCTCAGAATAAATCTGTAGTAATAGTGTTTGGTTTTGAACCAGTTAAGCTGTAGTATACTCTGCGCCTGTTTGTATTAAAAATCCCACTATTCCTTGGGAACGTGCAGCAACACAATAAAACCGGCGCCCTTCGTCGCAGTATGCACAACTACTGCAGTACTGAGGAGGAGGCAAACTATGAAAGCATCAGACCGACAGGTACATTCTACTCAGTGACACTGGAGCACATGGCTTCCTGCCTTCCTCACATCGTCTATAAGATCTTGAGCTGCTC